CCAAGCAGTCAATCAGATTTTCAGCTTTATTTAGGTTGTCTGGAGATATTTTAGGATGCCTTTCTAAAAGACAGGCTATTGGGTCTAAATTCAAAAGCTTATTTTGAGTTACATCCAGTAAACACTTAACCTGGCCAATATCAGAACGGCTCTCCGTGGTATTTGAGATTGGCAGTGACATACTATCAAACTGATCTAATTTTTTCTGAATTTCACTTACTTGCCTCTGCATATCTTTCAAAAGGAGGTTTAGTTTACAGAACTCAGAGTTCTCTAACAGAACATCTTTCACCTGTATCACAGGAGTGAGATCTGCACTCAAACCATTTTGAGAGCTAGTAGTTGATACTGTATTACCAGGCGGTAATGCAGTTATAACCGAATTTGAGCCACTATCTAAAACAATTGTGTTTCTACGAACACGTTTTTTAGAGATTTGGACCATAATTTCAAGAATTATATGACAATAAGCAGTAAATAAATTTCAGAGCAAACACGTGCAAAAATGTCACCAATTTCGAACGTACCGCCAATGTCTGTAGTAGCTCGTCATGGATTCTAGGTCCTGTACAGGTATCCCAGTTTACTCCAGGTAAGTTGAAATTGCCACATACCACTTTGTAGTCGAAGTCCAGCGTAGCTACATGCTCTAGTATTTCTCCAATAGTTATATCAGTCATTTCAGGGCTATTAGAGGGTCTGTATACACTTCCCACGAGAATTTTATTTTCGTTTGAGTGGGTGCTTATCCACTTAGATTCTGGGAGTTTGTCAGTAGTTGGGTTATTGAAAGTATTGGAGTTAGTGGATTTATAGGCATATATTAAGCAACTGCCTCCTCTTTTGTCAACTCTATCGTTCCTATAGATGTCGTAGTTGTCTATTACTAGCTTTGTGTCACGTATATCAGTAGTAAGCCAGGTTTCAGTCACCATTATTAGTGTTGGCCGTTCTATGTATGCCAGGCAGCGAAGTGATGTTATTTTATTAAGGAGAGAGCTAGCATTCAGGAGCATAATCGTTAGTAAACCAGGATTATAGGAGGAGAGGTTAACATGGTTACTTGTTACCATCCCTACGTTATGTTTGGAGGGGCTCCGAGGTGAGACAGAGTCAGTGTGTTACTTTTTCCTGGATGAATTGTGCAGCGAGTGGGGCTATTGCTTGCTACAACCGAAAATAATCCTGTTGCATATTTTGACTTTTAGCATCCATGGTTGGGCATCTGCGTTTATTTACTGGTGATATATGGTTTGCAATTTGCGTTATAGTTTGCTGAACCCAGGTACCTTGTGTTAAGATTACCTTGGTAGTTGTACCCAATGGGGCTTTCATAGTCGTATGCATATTGGCTCACATCATGCGTGTTAGTGAAATCATCGAGGGGATCAAGTTGTGATCTATACTCATTATGTAGATAAGGTTTACCTAAGTGCGAGAGTTAGGACGAGAATTTTCATTAATATGATGCCTATATGAGCACTGTTTAGTGCTCCATATATCCTGGGGATCCATTCTACGTTGCATTTCCAAGTTATGTGCGTTGTTAGGCATATTACTCCTAGTTCAGGAAGGGGTATTCCTACTCACACGCTGCATAACGTTTTTGGGAATATGCTTTGTTATCCATGCATTGTCATTTTTTAGACTGACATGCTGCTTATTAGACATATTACGAGGGAGGTATGTCGAAGTCTGTAGTGGGACTCTGGGCTTTGTGGTCTTTCTTGCAGTTTCTACTGTGGGACTCTGGCTTGGATCCAGATTGATTGTGGTCTGCCGGTGGTTTCTGGTCAGCCGTAGTTTGTGTGTCAATGTCGACCTCATGTGGGTCAGCGGGTTTTCCAGATATGCTCTCATGTACTTTAAGATTGCACCCAGTGACACTGCTCTTACTGAGTTTAGGGTCGCTTCTACTTGCCATTTTTTTTCCCAACACTATACACGTGACTTACTGTGCTTCAGTATCCGTCGACACTTTAGCACTGATACCAGATGTATTTCTCAGTGTGGTCAACTTTGTATAGAAGGAGTTCTTAGTTGTTTACCTTTGGTTAGGTGTTTTATCCTAGACTACTTTAATAGTCTTGAATTTAGTGGCAGTAGCCAGAAGATCTTCGACCATCATAAATCGTTCAGCTATTATGTAGCTGTCGAACCTAAAGAGTATAGGACAAGGATGCTTTAGGTCTTTTTTACTTTAATTTATGATTAGTTGAAGAGGCGAGAAACACCAGAAATCTGTCATACCAGCGTGTGGTCACATTAGTATTTAGCTTTAGGAAACTGGATATAGCAGCTGTTTCTTAAGCCCCCATGACTCTAAAGAGAAGCTGGAAACTACCTCGATATGATCCTGAGATATTTCTGTAAATTTTCATTGCCCAGGTGAAAATTACGAAGTTTCGGGATGACTAGTTAATTATTTAGAAGCTGGGAAAGTCTTGCAACAGCAAATAATAACAGAACAACAAAATGACATGCTTCCCAGCTAAATGTCGTTATGCAGCTGATCGCAATGATTTTTTATCCATTCAAATGTAGTGAAGCCACAAAAATGCTTTTCTTAATGTGCGCTTACGTTATTGAATATATTTTTTTAAGTAGTGGATGCTGTAAATATGGGTGTTTAGAAGCTTACGGTATGGACGTTCGAGAATTGTACAGAGTATATTAATGCAAGATCTTATACCAACAACTTCTACAGTATTCGTTTCTGGTGTATCAAAGGCAAAGCAAAAGACCACAGTTGATCGTCCAAACTACGAGATATATTTCGGAACCAAATCGTGGACCGAAGCGGAAGCTAAGCTGGCTAGTTATAGTGCATGAAAGTGACACAACGGAGTACCGAATGGCGGGGATGCTTGACCGGAAACCTTCAGCTAAACAAGTCCACTTAAACTCTAAGGGTCAGCATCCAATGTTCACTGATGATTCCTATGGTCACGATGTATTTCTTCTCCTAGGCATAATCTATTCTTATGGTCAATAATTTTGAGGAATTATTTACCGCTACAGGTTAGACAATACATGAACACTGTTTTGGCTAATATTTATGGATTTCACTGACTTTTGGTTGCCAAAGCACCACAGAAAAGTGTGGAAGCATGAATGCTTACAACATTTTTAAGTTTCTTCACTAGAAATGGGTTGTGAAAGACCTGAGGCGGAGTAAAGCCTACCACAAGACTGTGAATGTATTATTTAGATGCCACTTTTAGAAATATATGTCAAGCGTACCTGCCATAACAAGCAATTTAGCATGGAAAACATTTTACGCCTATTATTTCCACCTTATAACGCTAAATTTGTATTTTATATGCCTTTTTGTATTTTGTGTTAATCAGACTGACTGTGCTCCATCAGAGTGTCAAACATTTTTTGTCTGGATTGACATCTTAGGGCTAATTTGCGGTTCAGCTATTGTATCCTTGGTGTTTGGACCCCGATAACACTGCATTGTTTCGCGTTTATCTCAGTCACACTAAATACTGTACTTTACTAAATTTCACGATAAATGCTTCCCAATTGGTCCCCAGACACATAGATACATGAGGAAATTCTTATCAGAAATCGAATACCTAAATAGGTTATTGGAAAGAGCTAGGTAACTAAAAAATTAAAAGTACAAAGTATAAGAGTGGCCTGTATTACCGACTATTGATTTAAAGTCTGTTAAGCACGGTGAAATTGTCAGTGGAACGATTAACTGTAGGGGCTATCAGAGGGGTCTTAGGAGGAACACTATCAGAATTGCTCATCAAAAAACAGCGACGATCACACAAGCTGAGTTCTTCTGTCTTGAAATTGATTATCTTAGATATTTACTGCCCGGTGAGATGAATGTCGCTCCATCCGTCAGTGGCTTGTAGAGACGAATGAACCGTAATTAATAAATAACGGACCTCCAAACGTCCATAAGGGAACATATGGCTTCAACATCACATCTCCACTTCGCGCTGCATTTCGCTATCCTCTTAAGCTCGGTCATTCAATGGCCGAAGTCTCTCATCGCTTTCTGGCAAGATTTCTTCTATCTTACCCCCGGACTGCCCAATGGTCGTTTCACATTTGAGTTACACTCCAGCGTTGGCCTGGCGCACAACCTCATTCGACGGTCTCCTCAGTGTGTGCCAAATCCATATCAGTTTCCTCCGCAAAAATTTGTCAAACGATAGGTTATTGGCTAGTTTTGTCCCATATTCTATTGTCGCTATTTCTTTCTGGCTATTTGAACTCCAAAACAGAGCGGAGGTGGCTGCTGACAAAAGTCTGCAACTTGGTCAAAAGTGCTTCTTGAGATGCGCCAGGTTTCTGACCCATATAGAAGGACTGACTTGATATTAGTGTACACTTTTTCCAGGGATAATAAATTCCCATTTATTTTTGCATGCTTCAAATTTTTTGCTAAACTTGTTTTATTATCTCTGTCATTATCAATCCGATTTTTTTATTTCCACCGTTAGTCAATGTTCTACCATACTCTCTCATGCCTTCACCCAACCCTATGCCCTACCAGTAGTCTCGCTTAGCGATGCTCTTCGACTACTTCTAAATCTCTTTGTGAAAGCTTGCCGAAAGTCTACCCATTAACAGCAGCACCACCACCTTGCTGTAAAATGTTTCTACTATGTAAACCATCATACATCTCCTGACAGCATTCAGCAGAGATATAGCAGCTGAGGGAATAATTTTTTGAAAGCTGAAAAGCAGCTGAAATCTTTCAGGAGCCTTTAAAGAACAATAAGCGAGTGATAACACATCATAAGGTTGATAGAGGCTGAAATTATCCGTAACTTATCAAGGTCATTGGTGGAGTGAGACGCTCGAAGGTCATTTTCGTCCATATCAGTCGGCCATGTTGGATTGCAGTTCCGTAGCTGTTCGTGTACGCGTTTGTTGTTCCGTTTATGCTGCCGTTATACACGACTAATCTTGATGCGTATTGTTCACAAATGTTGCGTTTCACCTCATTTTTTGTTTCCGTTGCCGTTAAAATGAATTATTTCTTTGGTTTTGAAACTTTTCACTACCAGGTCAGTGCATTCATTTCGGTGTAATTTTTTCATACCTTGTATTTATGCGGCTTTTAGTGTTTTATTTGGTTTTCAGCTGTTAATGAATTGGCAATGTGTGGAAGTCTTGGAAATCATGCACGTGAAGATGTTTGGCTGGCAGAAGCAGTTGTTTTCAGTCCATTTATTGGTCGCCGTTATTCTGGTCGGCTCATTTAATTACCTAAGATGTAGAAATCGTGAAAAAAGTGTCTTTCTCGTTCATGTTCTCGTTCATGACTGGGAATCGTGGTTGTTGTGTTTTGGACTAATTTCGCGCATCTGACCGTTATAACCGCATGGATATAGCGTCTTCCTCATAGTACATTATGATATCTAGAAATCATAAGCACGTTGCCATCGGTAAATTTATTTTTACTTTTTAAATGACTGTAAATAGTGAGTCGTTTGAGGTGATAGGATGAATACCTCTAAAAGTTTTTGGGGAGACTAGGGTATATTTAATTTTTTCGAGTAAGGGACGATCTTTTTACCAAGAAAGTTCCCAGAATTTTCGTTATTCAAAGATAACGCTAAGTTGCCCACTAGGGTGGTAGCTATAGGAGACTATATTAATGTAGTTTTAGGTAACGCGTCATAGAAGTAAGTATCGTAGGTTAATTGTGTCTAAATGTATTAAACGTTGTATAACTGATCAAACCACAGTTCTTACGTATGAGTTAGTTTTAGAAATAATGAATGTACCGTACAAGCGTTTACCTTGATTTGCATACCTAGCTCATAAACATTATGCCTGCATGTGGCATACATTTAGGGCCAATACGCTGTGATGAATTAGTCGGAGATGCTTCAAGTTAGACTTCATTTCTATATCACTATTATCAATTTTGCAACGGTCATAGGAATTAACACCTTCAACTAACTTTCGTTTACATCGGAAACTGAAAATAAAAGTCTGACATTTCGAAGGACTTAGTTTAAGAGCATGTTCTCACTCCTAATAGAGAGCTGTTCATCTTAGTACAGTGTAGCTGGCAGTTAACAGACATTGAAATAGTTAGATCGTCCGCGTGCTTGAAAAAGTTCTTTTCGTATGCATTCGTACAATAAGTTCATCAAACAAAAATACAATTGGTTATGGACGACTTCCCCCTGACCTACAGTGTACTGCTTTCTCCCTGATAAATAAGAATGAAGCCATCTAACAATCCAATACTCAGTTTGAGTTTCAGCAAGCTTATCTGACAGAATATCTCTAATTACTGAGTGGAAAGCAAATGTGTGGTCTAGGAAGGTACAGCGAATTTAGCCCCATTGTCTACACTGGGGAAAATATTGTGATACAAGACTGCAACTGCATCTAAAGTACTTCTACTGTGTTTATAGGAGAATTGTTTGGGATCGTTAAAGGCTTTAAGTGAAGGTCGAAGATTAAGTAAGAGTAAATTTTCCTTAGTTCGTATATACGTCATTTGCATTGAAACCAAGGAAGCAACTATTATTAACACTTGTGACACCAGAAACCTTAGCATTTGTGGGAGAATTTATGGAAGACTTGTTTAGTGTACACACATCAAATGAATAGGGAATACTGGAGGTAATTAGATGCATGAAGGCGTAAGTTATTAAATATCCATAAAGTAGATATGCAAATACCGCAGTTGTTGATCATAGAAATGATGGATATTAGATAACATCGCATGATTCAACGGCATATTAGAAATAAATAAAAATTGTTTCTGAGCTCATTGTCAAGTGAACAGTCTATTTGATGATGTCACTGCATATTAACAGATTAGTGAAGTAGCTATCAAGCCTAAGTTACTACATTTACTTGTACTACATACTTGGCGTTTAACAGTATACAGGCTTGCAACTGGCTAGATAAGGCGACTTTAGAGTATCAAACAGTACAGAATTATTATTCAACTTGCTAAATCCCACTTAGCTTTTACAATGTGCTATTGTGTAGAAACAGACACGAAATCCTATCATTGACTAAAGTAACATTCTCATAATACTACAGTAAATCTCCATCCCACTAACTAAGCTTAGCGTTTATTATTCCTAATTCACTTATTACAAAAGCACATAGTATAGCAAGGAATTGAAGAAGTCTACAGGAAGAAGTAATCAAGAGTATATTAAACATTTGATTAATTTACAAAAGAAAATTCTGATGAAGGGTATTAAAGTTAGTTTGGCCGAATGATGTTTCCCCTGATTTCATATTCGACAACCTCCGTATACCTGAAAAAATAAAGTACGTGTAAGATTTGGCATAACATGAAGTTACAAGAGATAATTCTACATATTAGCATATACTATGAATACAATGATTCTGTTAATACTAAGTAATGTCTCATGCAGATAAATGTATTTGTAGTCTACAGCTGATATTTATGTTGACGCCGTATACATAAATAGACATCATTACAAATGTCTACTTCTCACTTGGCGCCCAAATATTATAGAACTATTCTGTCAAATCTTGACTACAGTTCAGTTTGACAGGGTGCTTCAACTAAACCCTAATCCTAAACACCATAATTTTGAAAATACGTCTAATCATAAAATTCTAGATACTAACAGTTTGAACAGACATGAAGGTGTGATGTTAGATGACGCATAGGAAATCCTGACTAATAAATAAGAATGGATATGTATCACTAATTAATAATACTTGGTCAAAGTTTCCCGACTGTCTATATCTACTTATGGAGACGTTAAGACATTGTTTTACAACTGTTTATCCGCACACACACACACACACACTGCGTTTAAAGTGTTTAACAAAGCTAGACCAATATTTGTAAGTCTGAGGTCAAATTTTGATCACAACTCGTACAATTTTGTCTATTATACTTGTTAATATTTGTTTAATGAATCATGATTGGACAAAGTTTTTAAAAACTAAAGATGTTCCTTTTATATATGAACCTGTTATGTTAATTTCGATTAATTTCCCTGAAGAAGTTCGGACCAGATTTCCGAACGAAACGTTGGAATTACTCATTTCAATATCGCTGAGATTGTACAAATATAATTTTTTTACAGATATCATATGTTTTCCTGTATTTGAGGATTATACGCAAATTTCAAGACAATCTCCGAAACATCCATACTATTGAGGCGTCATTCTTTCAAGCTTACTTGCAGATCAACTTCACATTAAATACTTTTACATGAAATGAAGCATTGCAAATGTGTAACTTAGAAATTAATCCGCAATCTCAGTAATGTCTAGTCCACAAGGTTTTGTGAATCCTACAGAAATCACATTTTCACATTTAGGAGACTATAGGCATCAAATATAAGCTGAACATGCCTCAACTCTAGACAGCTATGCACAGTGCTAACAACATAGTGAAACACTTCAACTATTGTAATGTACACAGACTTGTTGTGTTGATGAGGATAATAATGTCAAATAATGCAAACTAGAAAATTCAATCGTCATAGCGCATCTGTACTGCTTTGTTTAAATGGAAATCTCAGGAGAAATTCATCTCCACTATAGGTGGTCAAAAATATTGAAGCATTAAGTATACAGTCAGTGGAAATTGTAAACGAATAAATTCATATTAATGATAATAAAGCTGAATAGATTCAGTTCTCGTAATCACCACGACTCATGCGTATAATCATACCATGTAATGATTTAGTGCATTAATTGGAACAACAAAGAAATTAACACGAGTAATTGCCTTCTCCACTGCATTGTATTTGCAATAATCGTGACAACCACCCATATTTGTTATCCTATCAGTCAGCTAAATAGACAGTGGCAAAATATTATTAAAGTTGAGATATTTTTCTACATTTAATTCACATAACCCATAGTACACAGCACCAATCAGTGCCAATATATATGAAATCCACTTAGAGATAACCTTTCAGCTTACCATAATTCCTGTCCAACCACAGATAGGGTGGAAAGCACATCTAAAAGATAACTTAGGTAGCCACAAACGATTCTGATAGCATTTGCAGTTGATTTCCAAGCATTGAGAGAATTTTTTTGTCAAAAAAACTGTTCTTCACACGAAAATAGGCTGTATTAATATCCTGAGACATGAAGTCTTCATTGAATGATACTATGCCGAAAGGAGCAGCTTCTATATGGAGTAAACGATTTGCGTAAATAGCATTACTAACTATCCTATCTTCCTCATTATCGCGATACTTTGACACAGTCCACCTGAAACCCTAATCATTGCAACCAATATGCTAAGTGTGTCGCAGTCAGATCACATGAGGCGGACACCAACATAACCAGCTAAAAAGTGGGAATTTCCCTCAATCTAGATAACATATAATACAATTTTATTAAAAATTATTGGCAAAAAAAATTCCAAGCGTAACTTCTAGAGTGCGTGACGAATAATTCCAGCCTTGATAGATACATGAAGTTCAGCAAAAAGATATTGGACATTGGAAACTCGGTCGTTGGTATGACCTTGGAGGTGATTTGGGTTCAAGGTTGGTTCTCATGCCTGAATCTATCCGAAGACATACGTAGTTGTCCTAAGTGATCACTGGTTTTGAATTATCTCCCGACGAAAATCAACAGCACTTATTCGTGAATTCAGAACCACTTTATAAATTCATCATCATTATTGTATAACTTCGAGGCTTATTACATAAAAATTTGTTTGTCTCTGGAAAATGACTCATAAATACCTTCAACGATCTTGCATTAATCTGCCCACAGACTCTTTGATCGTGCCCATATTTTAGCTTGGGTATATTGTAGTCATCCTAGCCCGAACTTCTATATATGCAAATTCTCATCTAATAACATTAGATAACTTCAAATAATAATCTGACATCAAACATATAGTTTTCGTTTTCCTTTCCGTTGGTAGGTTTGCATAACTGGAACGATTTTATGCAGTTTTCCCATGTATACGTACAGTATGTGGAAAGAAAGTAACTGAACTTACTGTAAGTTAATTCAGTGATTCAAGTCAATGGAATTGCGCCAATTTGTAAATCGTTACCTCCGTTAATCTTTCTTTGTTACTATGTTGAATCAAATAATAACTGTTATTATATAAACCTATGTATAAAAATGTGATTGCACAGCTTTTGAGGATGGCATTTCCGAAAAGATGTCTTCACTGAACTTGTTCTTTTCTCTCCAATGTCCCAATTGGTATTTTTCACGAGCTGGCTACTTTTCAGGATGTGTGCAGACGTCGTCTGTTGGTTGTGTTGCCTTCCTTTCGTCGGAAAGGGGGACTAGAGATAGTGTAAGCTGGCTAACAGCAAACGGCTTTTTTACACGTGCCGAGATTTTGTTAGAAATCAGTGCATTAGGGTAATGCGATTTCCCGAACAAGTTAAATGGTTAATGAGCCTAATCATTGTAATCCGTGCCTGTAAACTGGGAGTCGGTGCAAATCAGTTCCGTGACCAAGTGGTTGAAACCCGAGAGGCTAGACGAATAAGCCACAACTCCACACGACATACTATACACTGTCCACTAAGATCGCTAACCTAGGATGATGATAGGTTGGCATGTGTTAAACATACTCTAGCCACACAAGTTGTCAGTCTTCACTTCGGACTTACTTCCTAAATACGACATACTATACACTGTATTGGCCTGAGTATTTTTTTAATCAGTCCAGCTGAGACCATATGAAAAATTTTAGGATAAAGATTAACACTATAGGAATTAAGTCCGAAGTGAAGACTGACAACTTGTGTGGCTAGAGTATGTTTAACACGTGTCAACCTATCATCATCCTAGGTTAGCGATCTTAGTGGACAGTGTATAGTATGTCGTGTGGAGTTGTGGCTTATTCGTCTAGCCTCTCGGGTTTCAACCACTTGGTCACGGAACTGATCTGCACCGACTCCCAGTTTACAGGCACGGATTACAATGATTAGGCTCATTAACCATTTAACTTGTTCGGGAAATCGCATTACCCTAATGCACTGATTTCTAACAAAATCTCGGCACGTGTAAAAAAGCCGTTTGCTGTTAGCCAGCTTACACTATCTCTAGTCCCCCTTTCCGACGAAAGGAAGGCAACACAACCAACAGACGACGTCTGCACACATCCTGAAAAGTAGCCAGCTCGTGAAAAATACCAATTGGGACATTGGAGAGAAAAGAACAAGTTCAGTGAAGACATCTTTTCGGAAATGCCATCCTCAAAAGCTGTGCAATCACATTTTTATACATAGGTTTATATAATAACAGTTATTATTTGATTCAACATAGTAACAAAGAAAGATTAACGGAGGTAACGATTTACAAATTAGTGAATAAGTCTTAAAGGTATCAATGCGGGTCACGAGAGGTTTAGAAACAAGATTACATTGGTGTTGAAAATAGTCGCGTAACGTATAAAATAGTTGCTAACGTTAACAGATTCAAGTGGGATGTGCATAGTAACAAAAAATAAAGTGATAGTATTTATAACTGAATATGAATAAATAAAGGAAATGGAAATACAAAACGGACAACTGAGAAGCCAAAGAGAACTAGATCCAAGGTAAATGTAGCCAGCTGTCGACACTAGTCGCACATAAATAATTTCGATGAATAAGAAGATTCAAAATGGTTGGGATCGTAATTATTTGTAATTTGGATGTTTGTATGTGTTTCTATGGTTTCTGATTGCTGTACTAGGCTATATATTATGTTGACTTGCTGATTTATTACGTACCGTTGTGATATCTAGCGCGACCGGATCACAAGCCTTTCATTAACTCTAATCAGATAATTAGTACTTCAGAAGTAGTAAGATGGTGATTTATGACTAGTCTGCTTTGTTAGTTTAAAAATAGACAGTAAGACTATGTGGATGGATGTGTTGACCACTCCAATGATTTGGGGAGTTGTATTACCATTAGTGAACTGGTTGATGACGACAACACAGGAAACATGTGAAAGGCTGGTTTGTAGTTTGCCAACTACCGTCATTTTAGGAGTGGATTTAATATCCCACTGTTAATCAAAGAACCTGTGTACTACGGAGGGGTTCTCACAGTCCTTCTTCATGACAGTGAGATATAGCCAATGCAAATAGAAGCTATGAAGAGGCTAGCTGCCTTGACCATATTTAGTGTCTGGGTTCTATCTATTTTTTTAAATTTTTTTATTATTTTTGATTACAGCTTGATTCCACACCGTATTTTTGGAACAAGTGTGGAATTTTCAGTGTGGATATCGGTAGCCCAAAATTCGCAGGCCGACCATAGATATCAGGTGTCCGTCGGCGTGGGCTCGAACCCCGGACCATGTGCATGGTCGGCGAGAGTCCTAACCACTGTGCCACCGACGCACCGAAGTGGTATAATATAGTTAGGATTGAGATTAGGCATAGAATGTTAGGTATGGAGGGAAAGTCAGTCGATGAGGTTGGGAAGCTGCACCGGTTGAGATGGCTAGGACAAATGCTGCGGATACCGAACCACTGCCTTCCTCCTCGACCAATGTTAGCCAACATAGGATAAGCTTGGAAAAGAGTTCACAGTGGCCAAACCAAAACGTGACGTCTTCATATGAAATCTTTGACTTCTCTGAGCTCGAAGAACACAACTAATCGCAATTTGTCCACCTAAGTTGCAAATCTTCTCTATTATTTTTAAGTCTTTGACTGCCAGCTCAAGCCAGTTCTGCTTCGAAATTTAGTCAGCTGAGGTCGTATGCTCAAAGCATGCGCTGATTACAGGGCTTTGAGCAGTTAGGTAGTATCAGCAGAGCTATTACGTGAGGTGCAGCTCATCACTGACTACTTGGAAATTCATGTTGTTGAGTAGCACACTGCTTCAGTGCTCGTTCATAGGGATGGACGACTAGCCGAATTATTGTACAATATACTTTTGACTGGTATTTAAATGTATTACAGGCGGCACATATATGACAAAAGCTACGAATTACAAAATACACTTTCTGTATGTCTGCGGATGCTTCGTCTCTAATCCTAATGATGTAGCTGAATTACAAAGCTAGATGAAAGGTTGAACAGTTACAACGAATAGTGGTAGTTAAGTATCCACAGACCGCGCTCATGAAGTCTCCAACTACTGATTCTGTAGAATGTTGGTGATCACGGTGATGGATCTTTTGGCATAATTGTATCACCAGCTTCAAGAGCGATCTTCTCATCGTTTCCGGTGATTGAGAGAGGTTCATACACCATCCGGATTATTGTCCCCAAGTAGAACTTAGATGCAATATTGTACTACATGCCTAAAATTCCATATTCGTACCAAAAGTACTGTTTGAAATAAAGATGTTATTATTATTGTTGCCTTACATTAATCATTACAAAAGGTAATAGATTAATTAATTCATTTTTTTTAGATTTTATGGGTTTAAGAATAATTTCTAATTGTAAAGTTTGAGGTGTACATGTGTTAAAGCTGCTCTATGGTTTTTAGTATTATTTATCCTCATTCCTTTCTTATTTTTAGTGCACTGCTCAACATATGCTCTTCATTTCGGTTATCTTGAGCATTTCTGCGTGTAGTGCGAAATATATATGTATTGTGAATGAATTGTCTGCAAGATAATACTAGTTTTTATCACACCTATGAAAAAGTTCACTGTATCTGCTCCTGGAAAAGCTATATTGTTTGGTGAACATGCTGTTGTATATGGTTATCCAGCGATTGCAACTACAATCGGTCTTCATTGTTGTTTTACAGTTACCATTGAAGATGAAATTTGTGATGAAAATATCGTCGTAGATTTTAAAGATTTATCAGAAAAAAGTATTTACATACCAATCAAAGATATTCCCTCAAATTTAAGTACATTATCTGTTTCAGAGCATGCATGGATGTTAGCATCGGAGATACTTGGTTGTTCATATAATTCTTCTGAAAATACACCTCTAGCTACTAGTACATGTGTGTTATTGTACCTGTTCATTCGTGCTTTACAACTAAAGACTCATGAATGTGACTATTCAATCCCCACTATTTTTAATGGAAGACACTCTATACGAATCATAGTTCGATCAGATATTCCAAGAGGATCAGGTATAGGCTCATCGGGTGCATTTTCTGTTGCTGCCACTACAACTATTTTATTATTAAGCGGATATTTTCCACTTGAACAAGTTTGGAGTGCAGATAAAACTCAGTGTGAATTGATATCTTCCTTGTCCAGAGATGCTGAATGTATTATTCATGGAGTGTCATCAGGCTTGGACACTACAATATGCACCTATGGAGGTACTATCGTCTTTTGGAAAGACCGAATACCTTCCTTTCGACGAATAGATATTCCAAATACTAACAACCTAAGATTACTTTTAGTCAATACTAACATTATTCGTCGTACATCTGTAGCTGTGAAAAAAGTTTCTGATCGATGGAAAGAAGATAAATCACATGTGAATTCTATTTTTAAAGAGATAGGAACCATTGTAGAAGACATAAGTAGTATCTTGGAAAAATCATTGACTCGGGAACTGAAACAGTCTTTCTCCGACCATGTAACTAGAAATCAGTTTTTATTGAACGAATTGGGTATATCAAACTCTGTTGTAAATCAAATCATTGCTGAAATGAAACAGATTGGTATACCAGCGAAAATTACTGGTGCAGGTTTCGGAGGCTTTGTACTCGGATTTATTCTTGACGCAAATCATGATGAAAAATTGTCTAGTCTTATCAGAAACTGGAATGAACGCTCTTTATGGGCGAAAATTGTCTCTGTTAAAGCTATTGGTATGGAATATAATGCTCATTCTTTTTAAGATTTTATTTTTATAAGTATTTAGTAGACGACATCAGTTTACAAAATGACAAAATATCAGTAAATACATTTCAAAGTAGTTATATGGGGCACCATAGGTTACTGTGGGTGAATTTCTCTGTATACCACCTGTTGGGTTACTATTTCACATGAACTCATCTGTATACTGAGAATAATGATTTATTCAACTGAAAGTTATTGTTTCTTATTATTTTTTTTGTATGTAGACTGTATTAATAACTTTTAGCCTTAAATGTGAAGCCTTCTAGAGGTGATTTTGATAAGGGATTGAAGTGCTTCACTGTATATTCTGTCTATCAAAATAATCGTTTAATGATGTTTAAATTCTTCGCATTCCACTGATATGACTTACTATTACTAGAATCGATTATTTTGTGTGCAGTGATCGTTATAAATGAAATAGGATATTCAGCAAGAGCCTTTCCTGTGTTTTTAGTAGTTCATTATTATGCTAATTACAAAATAATACTTTGATGTTGCAATGTGTATTTAAAAAAAAATGCTTTTTGGTAAGTATAATACATTTTACTGATTGGTGGTTTTGTCTTTTATTATTATAATTTAATAATTCCCATTGTAGCATTAAGACCACAATATCCAGCGAAGAGACTCTTTTCAACGAATTTATTATCAAGCTGTACAATCGTATATATATGGTTTTTTTAAAGAAACTATATTCGGTGAGGGGATTAGATCAAACGTGTGAATATATGAAATAATAATAGTAGTAGTATGAAATGCAATTAAAATATTTGTGATTATGATCATAGTTTCATGTCAAGTGGCAAAATAATTAATGTCAAATATAGAATAATACATAAGGTGTATAGATTTTGGAAAGGGGTACATAATTATAAGATTAGTAGACGAATATAAAATGTTACATAACTTGGTGTGAAATTTGATAAGATAAAATTCAATAATGTAAAAATATAAAAATTAATAATTTTGGTTATAATAGAGGTTTTTTGTATTTCCCAATGAATGAAAAAACAAAACGAGATTGTTTTTACTGACGTTTCGCTATTTAATAATTTTGGGTTTAAAATGACAAGTGGGTCAAGTGGAAAAGATACAGAGTGAGAATAGTAACAATAATAATAATAATCGAAGTAATAAGGGGAAAGTACATAGAATAACCAAATAAACAAAATAAATAAATGTCTACCCCTCTACGGCCGAGGCAGAAGTAGGGATTGTACATACTTCTTTTTACACAAAGGTCTGGCTTAAAGTCATGAATTGCCAAGGCCTCAGCTGTCTTTAGAAGTCTGTAACGAAGAAAACGCGGGAAGTTAGCATGGGTTCTATATATGATCTTGAAATCATGGTCAGGGTTGACCGAGTGACAGAATTAAAACACTTAGTCCCTTTGATAAATTTGAATAAGGTATTAAGAAGACAAATTTAGCGAGATGATATCATTTCGTATTTTGTTTACAACCGCTTTACAACTAACATGGTGACAGAAGTCGATCAGGTGTTCCAGAATAGAGCTTCGCCCACACTTCCTTTCTCCCTTGTAAAACATACTGGAATATGTTCTCGTATCCATGTGGAAAGCGTCCTCTGACTACGGCCACAAGAGCAGGTGAACTGATAGATGCGCATGGAGGCGGCCAGACGGGGGAGGTTATCTTTTACAGGGGTAGAGAACAATTTACGGCTCGTGAATTATTATTATCTCATATAACGAGAACTTAAAATGATAGTCGATATTTTGTTGGTGGTTAACTAGGTGGTCATTGTGTGAAACAGACAGTAAGTTTTCAAATACATTAATTAAGTCTACTTGATGTTACCGTTCATTCCAGTGTTTTGAAAACCCGCGTCGGTATTAACAAAATAGGTTGATTTTTTTGTGCGGAAAGCTGCTTTTCACATTTAAGAAATATGTATACATTCCTTTTGTAATTTCCTCCCCCCATTTTTATAACTAACTTGATCAATTTTCAATGTAGAATTCTGCGCAGCAATGTAACAGTTAGAGTTACCACATTGCATGTAAAACACAAAAATAGACAAATCAATCAGACGAACTGTAATCAACGGAAATGTAGACGAGAAGAAAAATAAGTAAATAGAGAACAATCAGGATTTAATAGATCTAGTTAGTAGTCCATTAAGACAAGATGCATCTACGCCACTAACAATAGTCTTTAAGCATATCGCCAAGTCCCCAGCCATTGGTTCTAAGAATCCCGAGGATATCAACCTGACAGTCTACATCTCCCTACGCGACTGTCTGATTGGCTGGCTTAAGCTGGGAGTCAAAGACTTAAAAACAATAGAGAAGATTTGTAACTTAGGTGGATAATTTGCAACTAGCTGTGTTCTTTGAGCTCAGAGAACGCAACTAATTGTAAAGTCAAAGACTTCATACGAAGACGTCACGTTTTGGTTTGGCCACTGTAAACTCTTTTCCAAGCTTATCCTATGTTGGCTAACATTGGTCGAGGAGGAAGGCAGTGGTTCGGTATCCGCAGCATTTGTCCTAGCCATCTCAACCGGTGGAGCTTCCCAACCTCATTGACTGACTCTACCACTACTGCTTAGTACTATAAAAACGTTGCGTAATATGCGATTTTTTGTCTTAGCCGTATGCAATCTTAATTCACACCGAACCTTCATATCAAGTTGAATATTACAAGCGTGTCAATCTCCTTCGTTATTATCTCGAACTAAATCATAATGGTAGTCTTGTAGACTTACGTAGATAAATGCGATGGACACTAATAGATCATGTAGTAATACGTTGTCGACGGAGACACTCAGTTGAAGTTGATCGTTTCTTCTGTAACACCTACGTGGACTCCTATCAGGTGCCCGTCCGTGTACACATATTGCTACATCTAAACGGACATTGGAGACAAGCAGCTAGGAAATGGTGATGCCCTCAGCGTCTTGATGAGAACACGAAGTCTTTATTTAGGGGGAAAAATAACTGAATACATCTGAAAATGATAGCAATATTCATACGGTGAAAGCCTGGCGTTCTCTATAGTCCACTGTAGTAAAGACTGTTAACAACTTACAACCAAAGGTTGATTAATGCCAGTAGATTTTGTAGGCCCATCCCAACTGATAGATGAAAAGCGATTTCTACTGACAGGAATTATATAGTATCCGACAGCTATTTAGACTCATCAGGCTGTAAAGAACCCGTGGTGAGTGAAATCACCAATGAAATGGATGGAATTTCAATTACCTCAGAGTAACGATGCACTGAACGGTTGAAGAAACATTTCGAGGTGTGATTCATCTGGCATACAGGTGATTGTAATGCAGCAATTGTTATCTCAGTTGTAGCTGTGGTCGTAAAAGCTACCTTTAGTCTACATCGAGACACGACAGCAAGGTCTGATGGTATGGCTCCAAAGGTTGGGAATCTGAGTTTACAAGAAGAGGGATGCATAACTTTGGCTAACATGATATCTAATTTTTTATGTCCTATAGTCCTTCTAACACGAAGTAGATTCGAAATAAGCAGACCTATAGAAGCAGGTGAACTTCGGGTCTAGACAAGGACTACATCACCAAAGGTTCTGGGATGTCTGCGTCTAACACTCGCTATATTTTTTAGATCTTAATGCACTTTGCTGTGAGGGGATTCCTGTGAAAAGGATGTATTAGTCAAGGGTCTTCACTAAAATTCCCACAGCTACTAAAGAGACTAGAGACTCTTGGATACTGCCTAAGTGTATCATTCTGTACATTTAAGATTGATCAGCAGGAGAATGTTATCGATTGTGATCACAATGTTATACGATTACTGAATTGCATATATATTTATATTCTGAAGAAGGTAGCGAGATTTCTGCTGACAAAATACATGTAATTTGAATAAACTTAAAATGCCATTGACGTCTAGCAATTAAAAAGAAAGTGTACTTTGCTTTTCACACTGACCAGTTCCATATAAGAATCTGTTATTGTGTACGTGTTTGTATGTAGATTAGCTTCCTGGTTGGGGTCCTCGAGACGGTAAAAACCAATAAAGGCTGGAGACAATAGGTGACATGGCTCAAAGTCGTTGTCAATGGCCAGCGCAGATGTATTCAGTCTCTGTAATCTTTCATATTCCTTTCTACCATTACCCATTCTGTTTCACTCTTATACTTGTCAGACTGTATTGATTCTCTTCACTCATCTTCTTGTCTACCTCTGTGTGCTATTTGGAACGTGGCAACTCGAACTGGTGCACTTCGGTGCTAAGTTCTTTGTTGAATCCAGACAGACAGACATCCACTCCTTGTGACTTATGATTTCCAATGAAACTACATTGTTCTTCGTTATTACTATTCCTTTGGCTCACACCTCTGTTTACTGTCTGTATTATGCATTTCTTCTACTTTCTTCTCTTGCATTGTGTGCTACATGTGGGCAGTGTGGTGACTTGAACTGGTGCACATTGATGCAAAGGTTTACGTCAAAAACAGACAGAGAGACGTGTTTGTATGAATGAAATTCACATGTGAATTATTTGCATAAATATCTCTTTATTCAATAATACTTGATTAAAATAAATTCAAATATAAAGTAAAATGCTGCTAAACGTATTTATAAATGACAAGTAAAGCATTTTCCCTGAGGGTGCCCAGTATTATTATAAAATGAATTAAAAGCATAAAGAAGAAGAAATCTCCACAAAATGTAGGATAGTACACCAGAAAATTTGTAACACTTTCTAGAAATAAGCTGTTTGATAGTAATTAAATTAAGACAATATATTGATGATAGTTATAGTGTACACATTACTGATAAAAAGGAAATCTATCTTGGAAAAGTTTTGTAATAAAGATCCATTAATCTTTCAGCGGCTATACCAGGAGCAATTTCTCTGTTAAATAGCAGCGTTTCAATTTCTTTTGTTTGTTCTTTAATCACTGGACTATTTTTAAATCGACACCAAAGTCCCTCCTTGATAAATGTCCACATCCATATCTGATTTTTTTTAAAAAAAAAGAGTATAGTGGAGAAGGAAAATGATCGATAATCTATTAGAGAACTTGCAAACATAATTGTTTATTAGATTTGAAGCTTCAGATAACCAGATATTATTAATACGAAAAGCACTGCTAGTATCAATTCATAAATAATCTGGTTACAGACTATATCTCGTAATGCGCGGAGACTTTTAAAGGAAGGCTAAGGATTCGCGTGTAACACGCTATCTACACATTACTAATTTACAGCATTTTGTTTTTTCAAGCTTATTATCAACGCCATATTATATCGGTGAGTGGTTCTAATATATTCATTTAAGAAGTGAATTGAATTAGCCGGATTTAGGCACAACGAGCCAATAATAAGAGTAAATATTCTTGACTGGTAATAGTTTCAAATATAAGCCAAAATATTATCGAATCACCTATTTTATAAGTTGTTATGCCATGTATCAGTTTTTTAAAATTTCTTCACTTTCCCAGTAGAACAAAGGGCTTCAAGGTAGAGCCAGCTTGAAGTTTTTGTAGCAGTGGTGATTATTTTTACAGAATGGGGTTGCTAGCCTCATTGGGCCCAACCTTCCCTCTTTACTAGTTCTATTACTGACTTGGCCAGGTTAGGGAGTGCGTCGGTGGCCGGGGATCGGACCCCGGACCACGTGAGGCGTGGTCGGCAAGCGTCCAAACTGCTGTGCCACTGACGCACGCGCCATATATATCATCGATGATGTTAATTTACGAGAGAATACCGTCTTTTTAAAAAAAGCATCTACATGAATTCTAATAGTGTTGTTTCCATCTATACAAATGTGTGCATTTGGTTAAATGAGCGTGACGGCGAACAGCTGTAAAGCGTCTGTGTGTCTTGTTTATATATCAAAATGCCCAGTTTTTTAAAATTTTTTTTAACTTGTCCAAATATTTATTTCAGGATATCAACAGGAGCTATTCCACAGAAGCCTAACTGCTCTAAAGATAAAAGTTCTCGTGTACACTATGGTTAGTAGTAGTAGTATGTGAAAAAGTGCTAGGATTACAATAATACCCATCAAATTATTTTAGGTTTATTGACGAAACGAAATCAGGAAATGCTATAGTAAGAAAAAAAACAAAGACCTCCAGTTAAAATGAAACTGATAGTTTTACTTTAGTGCAACAAGTTCAATGTTCAAAATGGGTTTGGGAAACTGTGTGGTATCTTCATCACTTACACAATCAGGCAGGGGAACCTAGACCAAGTCTCTACTTTAAGTACAAAAACTAGATTCTATAATTGAAAGACTAAGATATATAATAAGTCGAAAGTTAATTGATAGTCGAAAATAATCAGTCTAGGACAAGATTGCATTGTTTAAATCTTCAACAGGTTTTGTAACAGATGTCATATTTCTTGACATAAAGGTAACATTTGATCACATACATTGGGAGATGGTGGTTAAAGGTGTGTAATGTTAGTTGAAGCCCCCCCCCTAATGGAAATTACTTAGCCTTGTAATAGACTACACAGAGTATTGGCACACAAAATGATGATATAATCACTGATGTTCATCAAGGATACCTAATTTCATAATTTCAGTTATTTTTATTGTTTGTTTACTAACAGAGGTAAACATCCCGCTGGTAAGATTTAGATATGATAGAGAAGATTTGTAGCTCAGGTGGATGATTTTGATGTGGTTGTGTTCTCTGAGCTGGATAGTTAATTTGCGAAGCTTTCATCGCCCTACTAGGCGACATTTTCAGCGCATACTTCAAATTGAAGTATGATAATCATTCAGACTGAAGTATGCGCTGAAGATGTCGCCTAGTATGGCGATGAAAGCTTCGCAAATTAACTATCCAGCTCAGAGAACACAACCACATCAAAAAAGAGGTAAACATCCGTGGTAGTAATTACTGCCGTCAAAGAGACAGATAGAGAACAATGACAAAATGCTGAGTTATCTGAATATGCCTGGTAAGTAATTCATCCATGTCCATTCTTAGACGTTGCTACATTTTGAGAGTGACATGATCTAATGCACTGATCATACCACTTATTTAAATAGTTGCATGAACTTAAATGATCTGATCGCAAATTTGATACACTCCTCTGACATTTGCCGTACTTGTGTCATCCATCTCAGGTTCGTTGTAACATTTCGGGTTCTTCATTGAATAAGAAGTGTTATTATGCAGCAGCAGCAGTTCGTCGTGTCCCACTTTATGGTTGTTTATGCTTGGTGGAGATAATAACATATTGATACTAGACAAATGGTTGGATGAGAAAAGAAAGTTACAGGATTTCAACATGAGCTGATATTGGTTAGAGAACCATTGGAAAACCTGGAAGCACTGGACAGCTGTCTCGTCCTAACCAATGAAATCCCTACAAACCAACACTCACTAGTGACTTGCCCTATTCAGGTAGGCAGTTACCTGGGGTTCTAGTGAGAAGTCGTGACCAGTAGGGTGCAGCAGGTCGGGTGTAAGGATAAATACTCGTCGAAGACATTGGCTAGTGGTCACGCTATGTCGTGAATTGGCAGGAGTTAGAATTCATGGGCTGGCCATTGGATCGGGTCCCAGTGACTTAATGGTCTACGAGCTCGCCAGTCTTGTAACTAGAAGGTCTTGGGTTCGAACCCCGTTGGGTGCGTACAGCTGAAGAGTCCCAAACTAGGACTAAATAGCTGTCCAGTACTCCCAGGTTTTCCAATGGATCTCTAACCAATGTCATATCATGATGAAATCCTGTAACCAATCAACCACATCCCTACAAACCAACACTTGAAAGGAAAGTTAATTGATGAGGTTGCAAATTTTTAACTTATCAAGGTAATTGACATATGCATTAACGCTTGCCTACCTGTTGTCCTTTTATGGAATCATTGTTGACAGAAGTAAGAAAAGATTTTTTTTTTACTATTTAGTAGCATTGCAACTTGAAGTGATGCACATCTGACTTCTGCATATACATATCTCGTTTTCAGTTTGTAATTCATTAAGCGTTCAAAGAGAAATGACTACCGATTCAATAGCAGTTTGTAATTATTAATCTCTTAGGTTCCGAGTGAAACACACAGAGCTTCAACAGCACATCTATATTTCATCCTGATCTTTGTAGTCTCTGCGATTATCCATAAACTCTCATCCTCCACATCATGCTCGGACACCCTACCCGTTGTTTTCCACTCGAAGGCCTGGCGCGTAATGTCTCCTCAGTGTGTGCCCAGTCCACGTCTCCATTTCTTTCGATATATTTGTTAGGCAATAGATTCCTAATTGGTTTATTACCAGAGATCCTAGTTACGTATCCTTTTTGTCTGGAGAAAGCAGCTGTCAACAGAAGTCTGAGACCTGCTGAAAATGCTGTTGGCGATGCTCACACCACGTCTCAGAATCATCAACTCGATATTAGTGTTGAAAATCTGGATCTTGTTATTGCTGCCGATTGTGGAGGAATTCCACACTGATTTCAGAATAACGATCCTGTCACGCTTTAACACCCTCCCACTCATATCGCCTCTGGTTGAGGCAACACTGCCTAGTTACGTAAAAGAAGTGACTTCTTTCAATTTTTCTCCTCGTTGATTATTATTATTGTTCCCTTGGGTTCCTAGTGGAACATAGGGCTTCAACTGCACATCTCCACTTGCTTCTGTTGTACTTTTCACCTGCATCCATGTTAGTCCATACTGTTTCAACTCCTCTTCACACGATCTCCCCCATGTCACCCTTGCACTGACGTCCCACTCGCCGGTTCCCTTTCGGCCTGGTTCCATTCGAGCAATTGCCTGACGCGCGCGCGATGTCACCCAGCGACGGCCCCCTCAGCGAGTGTCCAATCCATCCGTCTCCACTTTCTCCTGCATATTTGTTTGTTGGCGATTGGTTCTTGTTTTGTTTGTTCCCATAGTTTCTTGTTGGTGATTCTTTCCGGCCCGGCCAACTGATCTTCAGTATAGATCCAGCGAAGACAGTTGTTGGTTGATAAAGGTCTGCAACAGCCTGTTGGTGGAAATATTCTTTGTGACCCGCCCGCCATGTTTCTGATCCGTATAGAAGAACTGACTGACTTGACGTTGTTTGTATTGAAAATCCGACTGGATTTTGTTGTTGATGCTGAGTGACAGCGGAAGACTTCCAGATTGGTTTCAGGTTGATGAATGTGTTTCTCGCCTTCCCGATTCTCGCTCGATTTGACATTCTCGTCCGTTCCGACTGGCTGCAGTTGAGACAATGTTCCCCAGATAAGTGAATGAAGTAACCTCTTTCAAATCCCTCCCGTTGATGGTGATTGGCGCTGGATGTTGCTGCTGTTATTGTTATTGTTGGTTGGTTATTTTTATAATCTCCGTCTTATCTATGTTCACATGGAGTCCTGTCGTCGCCGGCTGCTTCTTCGACCAGTTTGTCAGTTTTCTCTTGTAAGTCTTCGATTTTGCGTGACATGAAACATAAATCATCGCCGCGCGAAATTCAAGTCTTCTAGGTTCTTCACGTCGGTGAGGCCAGGATATCCCTCCCTGTCTTTTCGTTTCCCACTCACTGTCTGACGCATAATCCAGTCTACCACAATTAGGAATATCATTAGTGATAATAAGCACCCTTGTCTGACTCCTGTATTTACTCCAAACGCCTCGCTGAGTTTTCCGTTGTGGATCGCTTGACATGTGCCGTTGTCGTACAGCTGTTGAATAAGGTTGATGAATATTTCGGGCACTGTACGCCGTTAGTACTCGATTAGTTTCTAAATTACTTCGCTTCCCCTTTTGAAGCTGGTTGATATCTTCATCACCTGTTTGTTCATTTGAAGTTCTGTCTTAGCTGCTTCTCCTTCTTCCAACTTGTTGCTAACAAGTGAAAGTAAGATGATCAATTTCTGTTTAATAGTTGTAGTCTACTTTCAGTTTTATAGAACAATGAATACTCTATACTTGTTTCTTATTTTTATAACAATCATATGTGATATGGTTAGATGACAGTTTTTATTCAACTCTCATTAGTACATTAATCTACAAATATTATATATTCAAATATCCAACAATTAGATTTTAAGACAGAGGCTGAACAAAAATGTAGGTCATACAAAATATTGATTACTGAACAAAGAATATTCTATTCGATAACTTTCTTTAGGACAAAATAGTTAGAGCGAACAATTGTGGTTTCAATAAATTCTTCTTCAGGCTTTACAATTATAAATACATTAATCTAAGCATACTATAGCCAGCCCGCCAGCCAGTAAAGACAAATTAGAATCATATCAGAAATTGTATTGTGGAACAAGTGTAAGATGGATGGGATGGAACAATAATCAGTTAATTTTGAATATACTTGGTCATGACTAACTTGTTATCATTTTTTACAAAATCCTGTTCATTTCACTTCACTAAATTCATTAGAGACCTGGCCACTGAGAGTGGAAGACATGAAAAGACTAGCTGCCTTTGATCATAGGTGCCTGCGTTCTATTTCCCGTGTAAAGTGGCATAATAAGGTGAGCAACATGGAGGTTAGGCGTAGAGTTCTAGGTAAACAGGGGAAATCAATCGACGAAGTCGTGAAGCTACATCGACTGAGATGGTTAGGACATGTGTTACGTATGCCAAGTCATCGCCTCCCTCGACGAGCTATGTTAGCGGATATAGGGTCAGGCTGGAAAAAAGCTAGCGGCGGTCAAACAAAAACTTGGCATCAGTTAATGAAATCCACAACAGTTGGTCTTAACCACGTAGGAAGGTGTAGACTTCCAGGCTGGGGTCCTCGGGACGGCAAAAATCTATGGTTGGAAACAATTGGTGACATGGCTCAAAATCGTTCTCAGTGGCGCAGATGCATCCACTCCCTGTGACTTATGATCTTCAATGAAACTGTTTTGTTCTTCGTTATTACTACTCCTTTGTCTCACACCTCTGCTCACTGTTTCTATTATGCTTTTCTTGTACTTTCTTCTCTTGCTTCGCGTGCTACACGGAATGTGGCGACTTGAACTTCCGCACATTTGTGCAAAGTTCTATGTCGAAAACAGACAGACAGACAAATTCATTATTATCATTATTATTATTTGATAATCATTCACGGATAGTACTTTTTAGTTTACACCATATCATCGTTATTATTTCACAGTCATTATGATTGGCGTTAGTTTCACCCTTGAACTTATGTCTGGTTTATATTCTATGGTATTCATATTGTCTCACACCATTAATTACACACACACGCACACATATTTGCACTATGCGTCTTCAAAAACCAACTGTTTGTTTAATCCAACTTTATACTTGTTGCACAATACACTTCCTAATATGGTCCTAATTGGCCTTTACTGGTTGGCTATTGTACGCTTAAATTAATGGATTTATAATTGTAGAGCCTGAAGAAGAGGAATTTTGTTATGAATAAATTATGGGAATATTCAAGTAACTTTCTCTTCATCAGGTTCTACAGCTATATATATATATATATATATATATATATATATATATAATTTATTTATTTAAATAAAATTTATTTGTAAGTAGATTGTTAATAGACTATAGTCTAATATATATGATAACATATATAATTGTAATACTAAACTGAACATCAATATTACAAAGTAAATGATAATGAATGACAATGGATGTATTGTAATAAATTCTCATGAGTCATTTTCATATTGATTATAAACTTCAGATGGATGAATGATCATGTCAAGGTCATACACAACGCATAACCTTCTTCCCCAATTTTTTTCTCATCCGTTAACTGTTAAGGCAGGCTGAGTTAAGTGTCTAACAGACCGAGCAGTAGCACAAAAAGACTTAAATGATGAAATTAAACAGATTGGAGAGGCGTTGGTGTTCAATAACTATCCTGCAAAATTCACTAGGTCACGTGCTGCGCATGCCTAACCATCGCCTCCCTCAACGGGCATTACTAGCTGATATAGGTGCAGGTTGGAAAAGAGTAAGTGGTTGCCAAACAAAAACATGGCCTCATCAATCCATGAAATCCTTGACAGTTAAACTGAGTCAGGTAGGGAGATGCAGACTTCCGGGTTGGGGCCCTCGGGACTCCTGTCTGTCTGTCTGTTTTCGACATAGAACTTTGCACAAATGTGCGGAAGTTCAAGTCGCCACATTCCGTGTAGCACGCGGGACTCCAGGAATCAATGGCTGGAGATAATAGGTGACTGATATGTATCCACATATATATATTTATGTGTGTATGTATGTTGGTCTCTCTTTCTATTTGCTCGCTTAGTCTGTGACCATTTCACTTGTATGAACCTGTCTGCTTTAACAATGTATATTCCATTTATATTATATATAATATGAGTGTTTGTTGACAGTCCGTTGCTTAGTGACATATATCCATATATGGTTGTTTGACATGTCTGCTATATATATTTTGTTATATATATATTTCGTTCACACATTCTGTGTGAACTACTTTACTTACTTACCACTTTGGTGTGAGACCATTTATTTTCGTCTCCTTGTGTTTGGACAATAGAAGTATCATCGCAAACCTAGTGGTCTTCTGATTTCCGCCTTCTCGCGTCAGGACTATTAGTTTCTCGACCAGTCCATAACAATAATTTAGCGACGAGTACATAACAATTTGGCGACGGGGAAAACTACTATTAACCACACAGCAGCAGCAACATAACAATTTACTATGGATTATTCTAAATTGGAATTATTGTTTGAACAACAATTGAAATTAATGGAAATGTTCGTCAACCAACAGACTGGTCCAGCTTCACCTTCAAGCAATCCCAATCATACCATGCTACCATCTGTCGACGGCATTGTGAACAGTATTTCACAGTTCAATTATGACCCAGAGGCTAATGTCACTTTTGACACATGGTATCAACGTTATGAGGATTTATTCACTGTTGATCTCGCCTCACAAGACGATGCCTGGAAGGTGCGAGTGCTGTTACGTAAATTGGGTCCGGCAGAATATGAACGGTACTGCAACCTAATTTTACCCCAGAAACCACGTGACAAGTGTTTCGATGATACAATAAAGCTGCTGCGTGAACATTTTGGAGACCACTCCTCATTATTCAGCATACGTTATCGTTGCCTCAAGCTGACAATGAATGAAAATGATGATTTTCTTACTCACGTTGGCACAGTCAACCGAGAATGTGAGAGATTTCGACTCAGGTCCTTAACAGATGATCAATTCAAAGCCTTGATCCTCATATGCAGTCTCCAATCTCCTCGTTTCACAGATATCCGAACTCGACTGCTCAATCAGCTAGAACAAAATCCCAAGTTAACATTACATGACATAGCTGATGAATATCAACGGCTGATTAATCTGCAGAAAGACACACACCTGGTCGAATCAACACCTTCGAGAAGCTCTGATATTCGTGCATTACGAAAGAGCAAAAATCTCTCATCAGCTACTCCTGACCCACCTACTTCTCCTAATGTTCCGCGGAAATCTATACATACTCGTCCAACTTCACAAAATACTGCAAAGAAGACCCCACCATCACCATGCTGGCATTGTGGCGCGTGGCACTTTGTAAAGTCTTGTCCATACAAAAATCATCGTTGCAGCAAGTGCAAAATCATCGGTCATAAAAATGGTTTTTGTCAGCCACGCAAACCCAGATGTCAAAATCCAGCAAAAGCTCGACAAACGGTTGGTCCTAAATCTCCAAAAAGATCATTGAGTCTACGCGCAACCCGTCAAGTCACAACACCAGGTATGCGGAAATATCTTGATCTTCAGATGAATGGTCATGATGCACGTCTGCAGCTAGATACCGCCTCTGATATTACTGTTATATCAGAGAAACTTTGGAATTATATTGGCAGACCACCTATCAGATATACTTCCCAGACTTTTCTCAGCGCCTGTGGTGGGCGGCTCAAACTAATTGGTGAACTCAAATGTTCTGTTTCCTTCCGCAATACCAAATTCACAGGAATTTGCTACGTCACCAAGAGTGATTTAAATCTTTTGGGACTTGATTGGTTCGATCGTTTGCATCTGGCTGATGTCCCACTAAATTCTCTATGCAATGCAGTCAAGAAGCATAAAATGCCAGACAATTCCGGACGAAGCCGAAGCCGCAAACCCAACACGCAGACGAAACGACAGACGTCAACAACAAGCCCAAAGGTTCCAGATAAACCCCCAGGTAAACATCCTACTAATCATCCATCTTCTCAAAAGGGGAGGTGATATGTATCCACATATATATATTTATGTGTGTGTGTATGTTGGTCTCTCTTTCTGTTTGCTCGCTTAGTCTGTGACCATTTCACTTGTATGAACTTGTCTCCTTTAACAATATATATTCCATTTATATTATATATAATATGAGTGTTTGTTGACAGTCCGTTGCTTAGTGACATATATCCATATATGGTTGTTTGACATGTCTGCTATATATATTTTGTTATATATATATTTCGTTCACACATTCTGTGTGAACTACTTTACTTACTTATCACTTTGGTGTGAGACCATTTATTTTCGTCTCCTTGTGTTTGGACAATAGAAGTATCATCGCAAACCTAGTGGTCTTCTGATTTCCGCCTTCTCGCGTCAGGACTATTAGTTTCTCGACCAGTCCATAACAATAATTTAGCGACGAGTACATAACAGTGACATGGCTCAAAATCGTTGTCAATGGCCAGCGCAGATGTATTCAGTCTCTGTAATCTTTCATATTCCTTTCTACCATTACCCATTATGTTTCACTCTTATACTTGTCAGACTGTATTGATTCTCTTCACTCATCTTCTTGTCTACCTTTGTGTGCTATTTGGAACGTGACAACTCGAACTGGTGCACTTCGGCGCTAAGTTCTATGTTGAATCCAGACAGACCGACATTAGGAAGATCGAAAAACGCCAAAAGCAAAATAAAAATAATTGTGAAACTAGTACTGATAACATAAATAAGAGAGAATATAAGTCAACCACTGTTATACCATATTAGGAGGGGACATCTGAGACCCTACGTAGGATTCTTAATAAAGCAGGAATTAGGGTGGCACCTACAAATTCACTCAGAGACAAGCCCTGTAGGTTAAAGGTCCCAGTTGACCTAATTAAAGAAAATAATGTAATTTACAAAATACCCTGCAATGACTGTGAGTTAAGTCAACTACATAGGTCAAACTAGTAGGTAGAGGGTAGTCACATTGTCGGAACATAAGAATTCAGCTAAGGTAAGAATGGTTGACCCCGAGAAGATAAGTAATTTAGAAAAAAGCTCAGTAAATGCACTACATGCATTCTAAGAAGTAATCTATGTAGGTGGAGAGAGAGATTGATTACTGAATCATGGTTCATTGATTCCATAGTAGTGTGTTTATCAGATGTATCACACAGTGAAACAGTATTATTTACTGAACAACGTTTCGAACAAAATTTATTGTGGTTCATTGAGTCTACACCCAACACATGCAACAGAAATGACTCAATGCAAATACCAAAAATATGGGAGATATTATCACCGCCAGTCAGTCAAATCAGAGGAGGATAATAAATAATCTCAAAATTCTATTTCAGTTCAAGCATATCACAACATTCTAACAAGTTACTTATTATTATGACTATAAAACCATTCGTCTTATTTCCCATCTGATTGGTCTAATTGATCAATAACACTCATATCATTATTTCTGAATGTACATTATCACATACTGAATTTTATTTCATATCTGGCCAGTTCTACACATGTATATAAATGAAGGGAAAAGTTGTGTGAATAGCTTGATATTGTTATGAGGAACAATTTGTGCTCGAAACGTCATGAGTTAATATTACTATACAACACTGTGTGACTTACCAAAATAAGATCTTATCCATAATGGAGTTATACTTTACCACAGTGCCTAAGTTTTATATTTATACCTGAAGTTTATAATGTATATAAATAGAACATTATATGAGCATGACTTATACATACTATAAATTTGTTGTTGTTCAAAATCATTCACTTTGTAATATTGGTGGTCAATTTAGTATTACAATTCTACATATTACCGCATATATATTTTTTAGACTATAATCTATTAACAATCTTCAAGTATTAGTTTGTAGGGATTTTGTTTGATTGATTGCAGAATTTCATGATGAGCAGATATCGGTTAGAGAACCATTGAAAAATCTGCAGGGAGTACTGGACAGCTGTTTCGTCCGCCCTAGTTTGGGACTCTTCATCAGTACGCATCTACCGCCAACGTTCGAAATCAGGGCCTTCTGGTTACAAGGCGAGCTAGCTCGTAGACCATTAAGCCACTGAGACCCGATCCAATGGTCAGCTCATAAATCCCAACATCTGCCGTTACCAATAAGGTTACACCAGGTCGGGCGTGAGGATAAATACTCGTCGCAGACATTGGCCAGTGGTCGCGGTATGTTGTGAATTGGCAGAAGTTGGTTAAATAGGTTGGTTATCTTTATCATCTGCGTCTTTTCTATGTTCACCTGGAGTCCTGTCCCCGCTGCTCCTTCAGCTAGTTTGTTGCTTTGCGCCTGCAAGTCTTCGAGTTTGCGTGATATTAGACGTAAATCATCCACTCATGAAATCTGCATCTTCTAGAGTCTTCTTATTCCCCATGCACAGTCTGGCGCATTATCTAGTCCACCACAATTAGGAATATAATCGGTAATAATTGGCCGGTAGCCTTGTCTTACTCTTGCATTCACTTCTAATGCCTCGCTGAGTTTTTTTTTATTGTGGATCACCTGACACATGGCCTCATTGTCATATAGCCCCAGCTGTTGAATGACGTTGATAAAGATTTGGGCTCTGCATGCCATAGTGTTGAAGTAGTTTCCAAATTACTTCTTGGTCAACGCTGCAGAAGGCCTTTTTGAAGTTAAGGTAGGAAGAGGTTTGACTGCCACTCTTGTGCTCTGGTTGACGATAATGTATAGATTTGCGATTTGATCAGCACCTTTTGCTGAATCCAGTGCATCTTTTAATTCTCTCCAGAATGATGCGACTTAGCATTTTTATTGGAGAGAACTAGCATAGCTTACCACAAAATAACACATTGCTATATGAAGCTAACGGATCAGAACTGTATAAAGGTAATCCTGGTAATCTTCAATTATAAAGGCAAGCATCATTCAGTGTCAGAAAAGAGTGACTGTTCGTGTTATAAAAGACCTAGTGGATTTCATAGGGAGAAGATTTTAGGAGCGACAATATTGAGCATCAGTTTTCAATAGTTGTCCAACTGTAGGCAATGGGACGCCTTTTTTAAATCAAAACTGATTTCCGTTGTCTCTGATCACTGAACTGTAGTGTATAACTTTTCAAATGAATAGGGGTGCAATAAAACGCACAGTTTTACTTAAACAATTTCAGTTTACCGACTTACTTTTAATTGTTCTTTTCGTATTCTTTGTAATTCACCCGACTTAATTTGACTAGAATGAAATTCACACGCAGTAGACCAGAATTCTGTTAGACCATCACCATTTAGACTAGACACAAGTTTTACCTGATGATTTATTGTAAGGAATGTGTTATTGAAGGAAATAAGAAAAGAAAAGACATATTACAATCCCAATACTATATCACTTAATAAAAGAAAAGTATAGAATTATTATTATTATTTCCTTTAATTCGTAGAGGAACATAGAGCTTCAGCCAAACGTCTCCACTGCGTTCGGTTCTCTCCTAAAGTTTTCACCTGGATACAAGTCTGCCCACATGCTTTCATCTTCTCTTCACATGACCTCCTCCAAGTCACCCTCAAACTGACGACCAAATTGACGCTTTCCCTTTCGGGTTCCACTCGAGCGATGGCTTGTCTAGTGATGTCACTTGATGGTTTCCTCAGAGTATGACTAATCCACCTCGATTTCTTCCTGCTTATTTGTTGCACAATCGGCTCCTGGTTGCTTCGCTCATTGACAGAGTTCCCTGTTGCTGATCTTTTCTGACCGGCCATCTGATCTTGAGTAGTATTGAGCGAAGACAACTGTTAATGAAGGTCTGTAGTTTGTTTGAGGTGCTCTTTATGACGCGCTGGCCAAGTCTCTGATCCAATCGTATAGTACTGACTTCACATTGGAGTTGAAAATCTGGATCTTATTTATCATGCTGAGTGCTGTTGACCTACACACAGACTTGAGAGTAATGAAAGTTTGTCTTGCCTTCCCGATCCTCACTTTGATATCCTCGTCAGTTCCATCCGCCTGTAGTTGAAAGGATGCTTCCCAAGTAGGTAAAGGAGGTTGTTTCTTTCAGGTTCCTCCCATTTATGCTGATTGTTGTCTGTTGTTGTTGGCCAGGAATCTTCATCGCCTCTGTTTTCTCTATTTTCACCTGAAGTCCTACCTTTGATGCTTCTTCTTGATGATTGAATGATACTTTGTTTTCAATTTTACCGACAAAGTCACATCAACTAGGTAGTAAATTCGTGAATATATACAGTAAAGGGGTAAGAAGGTTGTTATATGTTATTTTTTCAAAGTCAATTTTGATTTTCATGTTGATTGAGTCGGCGGAATTATCGGTCTCTATTAACACATATAGGTTTCTGGTACAGACGCTTCGATGATGTGAGAGGATGAACTTGAAGTAATTTCGTGAATGGTGACTAGCAGTGGCATCCACGATGTGTGGTCCAAGTGGTCTCATAGGTAACGTTTTGGAGTCTGAAACAATGGGTACTGGGTCCGAGTCTCAGTGGGGGAACACAATAACTCAGTGGGGAATGCAGGTACATGCAGATGACGAGTCCCACTTAAGACGAAACTACGCACCATAAATTTCACTGCTAGTCACCATCTACCAAATTACTTCAGAGTGACACACTTGTTTTAAACTGCTGTCCCATCTTAATTTTCACTTAATCTTCTGGTTGACTTGGTCAAAATTTTATTTCTTAAAATTATTTCAGTTGAATGAAAATTTACCATTGTAACAACAGAAGACAAGGGCCAGGAAACAAATCACTTGTTAAGGAGATCAACATATTTACAGATTTTCATATACATTATTATAGATTATTGTTAGCTGACAAACACAGTCTTCTGATTGGTTGTTTCTCACTGAAAGTTAATCTGTCATCTCTTTGTGGCTGTTTCTTGAATGTCAGATCATCTATCTGCTAATTGTATCCGCCTACGCAAAGAAAATGTGCTGTGATTGGTTGTTGAGTCAGTCTTTGTTCTTGTTTTTCACGTGACCAATATTAGGGATGTAAACATTGACGTAAATTACTGTCTACCAATTCAGCTAGTAGCCAGTTCTTACCACACCATTACTTCCAGTGTGGTTTTGCGAAAAATTAACATGCAGTTAGACTTCACTTGTAAGAGAACTCATTCTACATAGCTGAAAAATTACATAAAACGCAATCACTGATGATGTCGTACTCCTGTGTTGGGTTAACGTGATGGTTTTGTTGATGGTAGCTATCCAAGGAATGCAGAACATCCAGCGTCTTGTTCTATTTAACGACTCGTCAGCCAGATTTACCAGCATCCGTAGAGAGAGTGATGGCGTATCTACTGCGACTCCAACCCAGTATCCATTGTTTCAAATGTCAGAGTGTCATCCTCTGTGCTGTGAGGAACACCTCTTGTGCAATAGGGGGTATTAGTTATTTCTGCTCTGTGATAGACAAAAGTTTCTGCAGTTCAATGGAAACCCCATTTTGCTTATATTTTACAGCAGCTTACATAATAAAAAACATTCAGAAAAGATTATTTTATCGAAAATCGCTGGGAGGTATCAGCGTTTATGCGTAATTGTTTTACCATCTTAGAACAGCTGTCGACTAATAAACTTTTACAATATGAATTTCCACCTAGTGAATTATTCAACTGTAAAAGTTTATCATTAATTAAGAGTAGTTACAACTACAGTGTAAAAAGTATATTTGCTAGCCTACTCTATGAAAAAAAGAGACTGCTGGACATTTGATTTCGGTAAAGTCAAATAACGACAAAATCCACACTAATTTCGACCGATCGCACAGATGTCTCTGATAATTTAGTCAGTATCCTTTTGACATTCGAAAGAATAGGCGCAGCGGGGACACCATCACTCATTAAGAATGCAGGTATTTCTGGTTGATGAGTCCTAAGTAGAACGAAATACCATATATCCTAGACTCTATTGGTAGGCACTATTAACCAAACAATATTAAAGAATGAACTCTAAACGCTACTCAGAACTAATTTTGAAATCTAATTAATTAATACTATTAAAAGCTAATCATGTTACTTTTGGAGTCCAATTTGGTCTTCGTGAACGCATATATCTGAGAGCATTTGAGTATTCACTAGCAATACGACGAGCGGCAGGTAGAAGTTCCCCATCTGCTTTATTGACGAGAACTAAGTCAGCAACCTCAACAATACCTCGTTTTATACCTTGCAGTTCATCTCCACCAGCAGGAGGAATGATTAAAATGAACATATCTACCATATCAGCTGCAGCAAATTCAGACTGACCAACACCTACAAATAATAACACAAAGCGTTTCATTACGATAAAACAATTAATCTTATGGTTGAATTAATAAGTGACTTATCTAGTTTACAACCTTAAGAAATTGCGCAATATGGTTATACAATTTGAAAGAGTAACTATTCTCTGTTCCAGATATATTTTATATCTTATAACTGAAAAGTAAGAATTCTTTTATATTCAAGTATTGGTTTTCAGTGATTTGATTGATTCCAAGTTTAGTCACAAAATGAGGTCATCTAGAAGGCCATTGAGTATTAAGCGGTTGTTTCGTCCTAATTTGGGACTCTCCAGCAGTATTCATTCATAATCCCACTGAAGATCGAAATTCAGCCAACTTGAAATTAGTGGAATCCTTGCGGACTAACTTATAAAAATTAGTCTAATACTCACTAGTGACTCACTACTGGATGGAATTTTAGGAGTTCTAGTGACCGGCGACGTCCACGAAGTCTGGTGTGACAACAAATACTGGCCGGTCTCAATGACTGATGGTGACGCTATATATTGTGAATTGGTAAAAGTTAGAACTCATGGGCTATTGGATTTCATACCAATGTTCGAATGGTCAATAAGCTCTCCTCATAACCTAAGCGATCTAGGTCCGATCCCTGCTGAAGAGTCCCCAAACGAAGAGACAATTGTCTAGTAATCTTTGGTAATGAGGATTAACGCTAGAATTTGGATTCTTAAAGTTTACGTGCGTATTCCACATTGCTTTTAAACTCATTATTCATCAATTTCTAAACTTTCATACATGTAGCCATTTAAGATTAGCTATATTTGTTGTATAGCATAGCTTATTCAGCGTAATTTCGGGAGTGAAAAACCCCTGGTAGTAAGTAATACAGAATTTTACTCAATTACTTTCAGAAATTTTGATTATATGTGAAAAAATAGAAATAAAAACACAAGCCTACCCACAGTTTCTATCAGGACAGTTTCAAAACCTGCTGCTTCACAAAGTAAAATTGATTCACTGGTCGTTCGAGCAACACCACCCAAATTGCCACCACTTGGAGATGGTCGTATATAAGCATTCAAATCGTTAGCTAATTCAGACATTCGAGTTTTGTCAGCTAAGAGACTACCACCAGTGGTTTGTGAAGAAGGATCAATAGCTAAAACAGCTACACGACGAGATCTTTTAACTTCTTCACTTAAATATCTTTCTGTATCTGATGTGTTCTTATTTGATGCATAGGAGTGTCTAGACGAGTTGACAACAACAGGATTCCATGGTTTACTGCCTGTAAGACGACTACCAAAGGCCTCAATAAATGTACTTTTCCCAGCACCAGGAGGACCAGAAAGACCTAAAAAACGTATTGATTCGAAAAGAAGACTAACAGATGAAATTAACCATGAGTTATAGAAAATATCGGATGACTAATGTAGAACTATGAGATCAGAGAACAACTGGTGAATTGTAGTGACAAAATATACAAGAAATAATATAGTTTGTAGGAAAAGACGTAAACAACGAAGAAAATTTTCTTTTCAACGATTCATTTTCATAAGCTGTAGAATCTTAATTATATTCAATAAAGAATTCATAAAACCAATTAGATACTGGTAAAATTTGTCCTCAAAAGCGTATTACTTAATCTAGGGTTTAGTCTAGACGGGTTGACTAATCGGAAGTTAGAAAAGGGGGCAGAAGTTGGCATGACGTTATAGGTGTGAGAAAATGACCAATCAACATGGTTGAGTAGAGTGGACAAGAACTAGTGAAAAGACGATAAAGTGTTTTTATAAAAATTGTATGAAAACGCAGTGTTATTAATAAACAGTAGTAGAGTGATAATAAAATAAGGATAATGAGAATAATGATAGAAATAGTAAACTTACACAATAAACGGAAGCAAAATTATAGTGAGAACGTTAATATGGCCACGATAGAGCGAGGGAACTATGCAGTGCTTTTGAACGCAGGGGTTCAGTTTCAGATCCCGAAAAGGCAATGATTCAGCTATGTACAGATGGCGTATACGAGGTCCTTGTGTACGATATAGAGGGACTCTGTGTAGCACTGTGAAGCATTCATGCGGGGATGCTCAATGTCCAGAGTTGACACGGTGTTCGAGGATGGAGCAGCTAGGATTCTTCTTTTCTACTCTGGCTAGTCAAGATGGACAGTGTAACAGAATACGTCTGTGGACTTGACGTTGCGTACGGCCGATATACTTTGCTATACACTAACAAGTAAACTGATAAATACACACTGAGGTGACCTAAAGCGGTGTCTTGCCCTTAACGTCATAGTAGATAAATTGTCTGCTGGAGGAAGTGATGCGTAAGGTGGCTGCTTGAAATGTCTTCTTCAGATATTTAGAAAGGCGGTTCCTAAGAAATTCTGCTTCGATGTCACCTTTGAATTCCAGGTTCGTGAACAGAGTTTTGATTTTTGGAGACGGAGACTTGTTTCATGTTTTTGTCAATAAATCTTGGTCTGTCTCTCTGTCTGTTTTCGACATAGAACTTTGCACAAATGTGCGGAAGTTCAAGTCGCCACACTCCGTGTAGCACGCGAAACAAGAGAAGAAAGTACAAGAAAAGCATACTAGAAACAGTGAGCAGAGGTGTGAGACAAAGGAGCAGTAACGAAGAGCAAAACAGTTTCATTGGAGATCATAAGTCACAAGGAGTGGATGCATCTGCACCAGCCATTGAGAACGATTTTGAGCCATGTCACCAATTGTTTCCAACCATAGATTTTTACCGTCCCGAGGACCCCAGCCTGGAAGTCTACACCTTCCTACGTGGCTTAGACCAACTGTTATGGATTTCATTGACTGGCGCCATGTTTTTGTTTGACCGCCGCTAGCTTTTTTCCAGCCTGACCCTATATCCGAAAGCTGCTACCTTGACGTGGTGGTCGGGCTTGAACACCGCAATGACCTAATCAAGCTATACTGGCTGAGACTTATGTCTCTTGAGGTTCTACCATGCCAGGTAGGTTGTTTGGATAGCGGTTAAACAAAAAGCAGCTACCCCATCCAACATCATGTCCAATACAAAATCACAAAATTTCATGCCGGATCGGCCGTGGCCCGGATTAACAACGACCGCGATTCCTGCTGCCGTGTCACAGGGCAGGAGTGATAAGTATGCTACTGAGACACACCAAACAAAAGAGAACGAACAAAAACAGGCCGCGTGTGACCGGCCTCAAGCAGTTGTCCCCTGGGCTTTGCGGTCACGCAACCAACTTCCACGGTGTGGGCAGCCGGGAAGTAACAATCGCCCTGAAAATCCGAAACGCACGCGAAACCTCTCTATTACAATAAATCTTGGTGGATACCCATTTTCTAGTAGGGTTTTAAGCAATGAATTTAACTCCTTCTCTATCGTGTCTTCCGAAGAGATTTTTCAAATCCTAATATAAGTACTAGGTTTTGCTTTCAGGCCAGTAGAACGAAGCTCTAGAAGTTAATGAACTGTCCCGTCCATTTTGAATTGCGATATACGGATGTTTGGATCGTGCAGTCTTGTCTTTTGGTAAGTAGTACATCCACGAATGGAAATGCTATGTTTGATTCAAGTTTTAAGGTGAATTTTATTGATGGATTTGCCGTATTGAAGGTTTTCAGGACATACCCTAAATCAACTTTTTTTATCACAGATTGTAAACATATATATATATATATATATATATATATATATATATATATATATATAATTACAATTGTACAGCTTATGAAAATGAATCGTCTAAAAGAAAATTTTCTTCGCAGTTTCCGTCTTTTTCTTATGATTCAATATGGGAATATTGTAGTTTACCTGTAGGCTCTTATCGATAAGCGGTTACAGTGAGTGATTTTAAATTTTTTCTCTCAAAATGTGGTGAGACCTGACTGCTAGCCAAAATTGGTAGACAGTAATCAACGCCAATGTTTACGCCCTCAATATTGGTCGTGGGAAAATTAAGAACAAAGACTGATTGGATAACCAATCACAGCACACTTTCTTTGCGTAGGTGGATACAATTAGCAGATATATAATCTGAACTTCAATAAACGGCTACGCAGAGATGAAAGATTAACCTTCAGCAAGAAACAACCAATCAGAAGACTATGTTGTCTGCTAACAATAATGTATAATAATGTACATTAAAATCTATAAATATGTATTCAAGTGTTGGTTTGTAGGGATTTGATTGGTTTCAGGATTTCATCATGAGCTGACATTAGTTAGAGAACCTTTGGAAAACCTGGGAGTACTGGACAGCTGTTTCGTCCTCGTTTGGGACTCTTCAGCAGTACGCACCCACCGGGATTCGAACCCAAGACCTTCCGATTACAAGGCGACTTCGTATATCATTAAGCCCCTGGGACCCGATCCAATGGCCAGCCGATGAATTCTAACTTCTGCCAATTCACGACATAGCGCGACCGCTAGCCAATGTCTTCGGCGAGTATTTGTCCTCACACCCGACCAGCTGCACCCTACTGGTCACGAATTCCCACTGGAACCCAGGTAACTACCTACCTGAATAGGGCCAGTCGCCAGTGAGCATCTCATTGGTATTCAAGTGTTGGTTTGTAGGGATTTGATAAATATATGTGTTGATTTCTTTAATAAACGATCTGTTTCCTGGCCCTTGCCTTCTGTTTTTACAAATTAATTTCACACTTACCAATTCTGAATGTATATTTTCCAGTGGTTGATTCTTGATTTGCTAAATATTTTATCGCTGTATCAAGTATGTATTGACCTTCAACCCGACGTTCAGTATTCGTTGACTCCAAAAGTGTAATTGCTCGTGCTAGACATGCACGATCACCTTGGATTAAACGATCTGCCAAGTGCTTAGCACTTTCTGATGGAGCACTATGAAGTGAAGTTATAATATGCTTCGGTAGAACAACAAAGGCGTTTTTTGAGTGAACTCCTAAACACAAATGGAAAGATGAACGAAGCATGAAGTCAGTTTGTAAAATCGATTGGATAATCTCTTTGTTGATTGTCGTCCTGTTATTGAAGATAATAAAAAAAGAACAGTAATAGTTTAATTGAAGGACTTACTAACTTTTGATTAGAAAGAAAACACAAATAATAAACGATGTTCTGACCGAAATGTTTTTTTAAACAAAAACATATGATCTTTTGAAGGCATTGATGAATGTTTTATTTCTACTTTTTTCAAAATTTACTTCACGTTCCCAGTGGAGCATAGGGGGCTTCAAGCTAGAGCCAGCTTGAAGTTTCGGAAGCAGTGGTATTCATTTTTACGGGATGAGGTTGCTAGCCTCATTGGGCCCAACCTTCCCTCTTTACCAGTCTTATTACTGGCTTGGTGAGGTGTAGGACTGCGTCGGTGGGCGGGGATCGAACCCCAGATCACGTGAAGCGTGGTTGCCGAGCATTCTACCGCTGTGCCACCGATAACGCATTATTATTGTTTCTACTTTACCAGTTTATACCAGCTTCGTTATACTCCTTGTGTGAAATACACCGATAAACAGTTTAACAGACATCTAGACCAGATTACCAATTGGAAACTATCTGTTGTAGTGAACACAGAGGTACATATAAACGAATATTATATTCAATTGTGAATGATTTCAAAGGAGAGTTTATAGTGAATTAAAATTAGCCAGGGAATCATCCGAAGTAACAAGAAGTACAAAACAGCCGTTTCATTCTACCTGTCAGCAGTTGTAACTCTCTTCCGAACAGAACTAAGTTGAGTGTTAGAACCATTTGCTTACTATACACACTGGATGTCCGCTGCACTATATATATCGCGAATTGAAAAAAATGTCATATCATAAATAAAAATGTGAATTCATACCGCTGAGGGGTCCCAAATGAGGGTGAAGCAGCACTTTTTGGTTCATACTGATCATGTAGCTAGTCTCAGTAAGTGACGGACTCTTTCTTGGAATATTTATTTATTGTTAACAAGTCCCCGTGCAATCATATAAACACCAGATACGCAAATCATTTAGGGTCGGAATAAATGTTCCAATAAAAATTTGATCATAAGAGTTATCCATCCAACTTTTTACAGTAATAAGTCCTGTCTAGGGGATATACACCCTTACATAGACCTTCCTGCGCTTCCTTATAGTGTTGCCTCTGGGAAAACATGAGAACTATTTCTAGAGAATCAAGATTTTTGCTTTTCCTTCACGTTCCCAGTGGAACATAGGGCCTCAAGCTAGTGGCTTGAAGTTTCTGTAGCAGTGGTGAGGTGGCTAGCCTCATGACCAACCTTTCCTCTTCACCAGAATTATTTCTGGCCCAGAGAGGTGAGGGAGTGCGTCGACCAAGAATCGAACCCCGGACCATGTGCACAGTCGGCAAGCGTCCTAACCGCTGTGCAACCGATTCACACAGGGATACACCCATTGACTGGATGTTAGTTTTCAGGAGAACCAAACACACCCATCCCTGCCTCTTGAGAGACGAGATCGGCATGCAGGGTCATCCTGTGGCGCAACCACTCGACAGCCCTCTCCCTCGGTGGACCAAAGAGAATCAAGAGTAAGTCAGTAATAATTATCAGTAAAAATAATCAGATTTTGTAAAGATTTGTCATAACGTATGATAAAAATGATTTTTTTCCCAGCGCTATATCCAATCAACGATAATTAATTGTGGATTTCATCATGAGCTGACAGTAGTTAGAGAACTGTCAGCTCATGATGAAATCCTGAAACCAATCAAATCCCTACAAACCAGCACTTGGATAATTAATTCATTGAGCAGGGAAAAAACAGCAAGATGCTATAGGCATGCAACTGTTGAATGCTAAGAATGGATTAAAAGACGCTGTAAGTGTATTCCAGCGGTAGAGGCTATGGCTATTGTTCAACAATTGGGGAATCAGTTATTAATAAGATACATTTTATGTAAGGAGTCTGTTTAGACCATGAAAGTGGGACCGTATTTGGATTACATGGAAAGTTTATGTACTTAAGTAGGCATACTGTGGTGAGAGCTGGCTGCTAGCCAAAATTGGTAGACTGTAATTTACGTCCCTAATATTGGTCATGTGAAAAACAAGAACAAAGACCAACTCAACAACCAATCACAGCACACTTTCTTTGCGTAGGCGGATACAGTTAGCAGATAGATGATCTGACATTCAAGAAACACCCACAAAGAGAAACAACCAATCAGAAGACTGTGTTTGTCAGCTAACAATAATCTATAATAATGTACATGGAAATATCTAAATATGTGTTGATTTCCCTAATAAACGATCTGTTTCCTGGCCCTTGCCTTCTGTTGTTACAGTATGATGTATATTTTTGTGGCCCTAAGAAACGCATTCCTTTTTTTAAGTGAATTCTAACTGTATTATGATGATAAACTAGATGCATATATTGAGCTTTTTTGGAAGAAAATTATATACCTATCGTTTTATAATATTTATATAATTGACGTAAGACACAACTGTTTTTTAATGAACATTTTGGTTAAAATAAGGAAAAAGGCCTAACACTTTTATGCTGATTCATACCGTTTACTCAATACATTAATTTAGAATAGATGAGAGTATAATATAAAACACCCTCAGTTTACGTTGGAAACGTGTATTACTCTTGCAGTAAATATAGTCTTTATCTTATATAATTCAAATGATACACACAATATTATTATTGTTCCCTTGGGTTCCAAATGGAACATAGTGTTTCAACAACACATATCTCCACTTTCTTCCGTTTGGTACTATCCTCTTCAGCTGGGTTCACGATTACTCATAATCTCTCATCTCCTCTTCGCCACACGATCTTCTCCATATCACCCTACCTACAGACGAACCACCACTCGTCACTTCCCATTGGAGTTCCTCCACTCTAGCCGTGGCCTGAATTACACACAATGTCATTCGACGGCCTCCTCAACATATGCTCGACCCATCTCCATTTTCTTCCATATATTCGTTGAAAAATCGACTCTTTGTTGCTAATTCTTTCTACGCCGCCAGCCATTTGATCTTCAGTATGGAGCCAAATGTTGATAAAAGTCTGCAGTTGGCTGTTGTGAATGCTTTTCGTGATACGCTGGCCAAGTTTTTTTACCCGTATAGAAGTGACTGACTTCATGTTTGTGTTGAAAATCTGAATCTTCTTCAAGTTGGCTGAGTGCAGAAGACTTCTGAACTAGTTTCACATGAGAGAAGGCGTATCTTACCTTTCCGATTATTACTTGTGGAATAATAATAATAATAGTGAATTCTGTGTAATTAAACTAATTATTTAATATTGTGTTCATACGAACGTGGACTTGATCATATTTTTTTTGTATGTATACTGTTTGTCGACAATCTAACAGGTGAAATAACAATTTCTATAGAAAATTTATTAAAACTGAACTTAATAGTTAAGAAAATCTCGACAGCTATATGAATAGTTCAGTTTGAATCAAAAGTCAATGCGTTCATTACTACCATCTGACACTAACCCTCTATATCATAAAGTAGTCAGGGGTTTTTTTAAAATTTGGATTACTAGGACGCATAACTCAGCATCACCTAGAAATATATGAGAAGTGAAGCAAGTATTTTACCCTAGTGAAGCAGTAGTCAACAAAACGCTTAATCTCAAGAACCCAACCCGTAACACCACTGAAACAATACAATGCCTCGGGGGGCGCGTAGATATCATCAAGTTTTAAGAATGCAGTAAAACATCCTTGAATACGTCTATAAGGATCAACGACTTATTTATACCACTGCATTGAAGTTAGTTAATTTCTAAACAAAGTCTTGCTATTCATGATCGAAGTTGTACAACGGTATGTCATGCGTAAAACTTAACTACTTATGTGTTGTGGTATAACTGTTTTTAAACCATGAAGTGCCATGTATGACGAACGTCAGTTATATTGATGGCCTAAAAGACATATGTTGTCCACTTACAAATATGAAGATGTATCTACTGGTGATGATTCTCTGCATTGCAGGTTAGACATTAGACCCTAGACTCCAGTAGTAGTCCCCCAGGTCTACCAGATGCTACAATCCGAGTATCCGAACAGTATCTCTACCCTCAGTCGAATGATAAAAGGTAAATGGCAATTATACCCAGACTGTTTGAAATCTGCCATTTTAATAATAATAGTAATAATCACCTGACCATGCTATCAACCTTAAGTTATTCAGAATTAACTAACTCGAACTTATGAGTCGGTAATAACACATGCAACTCGCTATATACTATAACTTAATCTTTTGGACGCTGTTAACCCAGGCTATGCATGTGTGAGATCCGAGTGTAACTATTCATATAGTTACAATTGAATCCAAAGTTATTCAGGTTCCAGGAACAGGAGTCACCTTTATTTTAGGAGGGTTGATGATGCAACCCAAACTAAAATAAGTGGAGTGTTAGCCGACTATGCAACCCAAGTATACAGGGCTAAAGATGGAAGTAAACATTTACACGATTGGATAGGATTTATGCGAATGAGGTAGAGATTAGCAAGTTTTAATGGCTTTTCGGTAGAGAGCTGTGTATTAAGAATTTTAACGCATGAATGAATATGTTTCTTTGACCTATTTCGATGCGTATTTGGTAACTGTAGCATGGAGATTGAAAATAATGTGCACTAAGGAAGATTATTTAGCATTATTTAAAGTGTGTACGATATAATCACAAACATTTGTGCATAAGAAAGAAGTGACATCCATAATGGATAAGATTTTTATTTGATAAATCACACAGTGTTGTACAGTAATATTAACTGATGACGTTTCGAGCGCAAACTATTGCCACTCATAATCATATCAAGTCACTACTCACACAACATTTTCCTTCATTTATATACATGTGTGGAATTGATTAGATATATGAATAAAAATCAATATAATGTACATTCAGAAATAATAATACGAGTGTTATTGATCAATTACAATCAGATGGAAATAAGACGAGTGTTTTCATTGTTAGAATGTTGTGATGTGGTTGAA